TGCCTCAGGACGCTAACTCCCCTTATGTCCTCCACTACACTGCCTTCGACGGGAAGACGGGAGGAGTCGGCGAGCGTCGCACCTTGGAGGTCGACGCTGTTATCGGAGCAGACGGCGCCAATTCTCGCGTCGCCAAATCGATTGGCGCGGGTGAGTACGAATACGCAATTGCCTTTCAGGAGAGGATCAAGATCCCGGACGATAAAATGGTATACTATGAGAMYCTCGCCGAGATGTACGTCGGAGATGACGTGTCGCCCGATTTCTACGGTTGGGTCTTCCCTAAATGCGACCACGTCGCAGTGGGAACAGGGACGGTGACACACAAAGGGGATATCAAGAAGTTTCAGACGGCTACCAGGAACAGAGCCAAGGAGAAGATACTAGGCGGTAAGATTATTCGGGTGGAGGCGCATCCTATTCCGGAGCACCCGCGGCCGCGCAGGGTAGCGGGGAGGGTGACACTCGTAGGGGACGCGGCTGGGTACGTGACGAAGTGCTCGGGCGAGGGAATCTACTTCGCGGCAAAGAGTGGGCGRATGTGCGCAGAGGCGATTGTGGAGGGTTCGGAGCATGGGAAGAGGATGATCGACGAGTCGGATTTGAGGAATTATCTGGAGAAGTGGGACAAGAYGTACTGGCCGACTTACAAGGTGTTGGATGTTTTGCAGAAGGTATTTTRCAGGTCGAATCCGGCCAGGGAGGCGTTTGTGGAGATGTGCGCYGATGAATATGTCCAGAAGATGACGTTCGACAGCTATCTGTATAAGACGGTGGCGCCTGGGAACCCCCTGGAAGACATCAAGCTCGCCATTAATACAATTGGGAGCTTGGTGAGGGCCAATGCAATGAAGAGAGAGATGGAGAAGATCACCTTATGAAGCTCATTTTCTGGGTTGAACAACTTCTTAGCATAAATTCTCYTGTTCTTTCGATCTTATTTTCTTGTGGAATCAATCAAGAGGAGAGAAATGGCCTACTTCATGAATTGTCTAAAGCAAARTGGTACTTATTACTTATGAGTTCATGTATGTAGAATTAATTTACATTTTATCTTTTAATTAACAACAGTAGAAAATTTTCTGATATCTGTTGTTGTTGGATAATCTAACAAACATTACCTTTCAATTATTTCACAATGCAAAAGCAGATTCAAGAACCTACACACACTAGTTTGCCTTGTAATCCCTCTGAAAATGAGAATATGAGAAGTAAACTAGAATATTTGTTCCTTGGTTTTTTTCTGGTGGAATTTGATGTAAACTTGTCCAAGGCCACCTTTGTCTTGTTTGGAATTTGGATTACGTGGCCTCTTTAGAAAGATAATGGCCATAGGCACTTGATTCTGGGCATATGTGGACTAGACTACTAGAGGTAGAGGTCATCGATTAAGATTTCGTAAGATATATCTTGGTAGTGTGGTTGTGAGTCGTGTGACTTGTTATCTGCGTGTCATTTCTGGCTTCTTTAATGTAAATTATGTAATGGATAACTTGTCCTACACTTCAGGATGTAGGAAAGGTTTTCCCCGTTCATTGGGGAGACTCAGGCTCAGGTCAGGTGTGGTGTGTGCACAACGCCCGTTAAGAGTTCGATGGATTGCCTCATAGAAACTTTCTTACATTTTCACAACCTTGGGGTTTGGATTGATCTTCTACGATGGTGGATTTAATATCAATATCGCTGTTTGAATCTGATGAAGCATGTTTTTTGGAAGCATCCTGTTATTCGGACTACTTTTAGGTGGCCGATGACTCAGAGGTTGAAGTGGAGGATTTTTGCTAGATGAAAACTTGGATGTCGAGCTGACTAGGCTGAGCTGGGGGGTAGATTGGGTGTCGAGCTTGGTTGATTGCCAAGTTGGGTATCTCTTCAGAGAAATTTGTAAAGAATCAATGTTAGAGGACCCGGGGTGGCTAACCCGACGAGGTTGCTCTGATGCTTAAGTCAGTATTGTGTTGTCTTGGTTGCGAGTTGAAAGTTTGAGTGTGAAGAGAGTTAGTGAGCAAATAATTGCGCGTACCTTTTCGTGTCATTGGGGTTGGTGCCTTTATATAGATTTTGTTTGGCGTGGGCCTCATGCATCGTATCCGAGATTTCTAGGAGGTTGCCTAACCGGTCCGAGATCCCGGGAGGTAACTGTCACACACGTTGGTCATCCTCCGGAACACTCGGTACGTGGGCCAACTTCTAAGAAACTTGGGAGTATCGAGATATGCATACTGAATTTGTCGGCGAGCACAACTCGCAAGTCGCCTCCTTGACCTTAGTTAGGTCGGCAAGCCATCGAGGGAGATCACTCCTCGCGTTAAGGTCACATCGGCCAGTGACGAGGAGCTACAAGTCGGCCCTAGACGAGGTGCTCCTAGCCAGCCTAAGTTGTGGTCGAAGTCGCTTAGTTGGCGGTAAAGGCACCTTGCCAGGTCGGGGTGAAGACGAACTATGACCTAGGACTCCAAATCATCGCCTAGGTGGTGTCTAGGTGTCGTCCAGCTGTTTCGGGATGCCATTAGTCACAATGTCATTAGAGGGCCAAATCCGCCCTCATCAATTGCCCCCCTACTCCTAAGCTAAAAGTAGCTTCGCGAAGGGAGTAACCACTCATTTTGGCCTGGAATGACTGATTCGATAAGCTCGTAGTCGTAAGCGCCGGTCCAATATGCTCATCAGGTCGGAAGAGTCCAAATGTTTGCAGCCTTACACAGGACCTCACCGTCTTGATTATAGGGGCACGAGAGCGAATTCATCCACTCGATGATGGTGGAGCAGGTACCCCAAGGACATCTACCTTATTAGGGATGGAACCGTCAAGGGGTTCTGCAATCTGACCATTACCTCAAGAGCGACTTTATCATGCCATCCTTAAAAGGGGGGTTTGTGTGACTGTTTTATTAGGTATCTCCACCTTGGTAGACTGCGACGCAGCATCCTTTGAGCTGGTTCTCAAAAGAGTAGCTAGTGAGTTCGATGAAGAGCCTAAAACCGAGGGGGAGGTCTATTATGAAGAGATCGACTAAGTTTGCATCTGTCATGGTGCTGAAAGCGAAACAGTCTTTCCTTTGTTCTCTTTTTCGTGTTGAATGTGAATTGCTTTTTATTTTGCTCATGCAAAAGAGGCGACCAGTTCTTATGTGGTGCCGATGTCTTTTATCAGCTTGGCACCTTAGCCCTTAGGCTCTAAGAGCGACTCGCGATACACTCTCCTTATCATTGATTTTGCCCATGCCTAAGAGGCGACAAGGTCTTAGCATACCTATGCTGAAGAGGCGACTAGGACTTATCTATCCATGCTGAAGAGGTGACAAGGTCTTAGCACGCCTTACCCCTATATGCAGAGAGACTGTTTCTAAGATTTGAGCCCTGGTCACCCAACTCCCAAGGGATTTCTTATAGTTGAGCCATCATCTTGTATGTATATCAACTTTAGTGCCATGCTATTGGTGGGTGTTTCTTACGGTCAACCAGCCAGGTAACCTAGCCTTGATTTCTTGTTAGTTATACTTGATGATCCATTTGATATTTTCCATGTCAAAAAAAAAAAAAACAGTTTAAATGATTCCTCTTTGAGGCCAAGGCTCTCAATTTTCTGTTTAATTTAGTTGTACGCTAATGCTATGTTAGTCAATGATCAGAACGTGTCAATTTTACAGAAACACTCTATAGAAATCTGTCTAGAGAATGCCTCCTGTAGCACAATTTTAAGTATTTCTTCTTCTATCTAAGTTTATCTATTCATCAAGCACAAGACATCCCGAAATTAGCAAAACAGCAGATAAAAGTAGTGATAACCAATTCTTTCTGAGTTAAAAGTTAGGTTGACAAATCACATGCAATCTATGAGTTAAAATATCTTGGAGGAGAATATTATTCATCAATATCATTGATCTTTCTTGAATTTGACCGTTTCCTGAAATGACTTAAACTGAATAGTTACAAGTATTTGATTGCAA